TTAACAAGCATCGTGATTAAGAGGAATGAAAGTGTGGTAATTCTCATCTCTGTAATAGGTTTCCAAATGACATGAACAAATCAAAAGTCCAAAACAGTAGATTACTCAAAGTCAAAATGGCAATTTTCCAACGAAGAAGAGGTGGGTTTCAAAGAAACATGTAGAAATAGAAACAAAAAGTGAGGCATCCACAAAAGTGAACAATGAGTCAACAAAAAATAGGGTCAGAAGACAACAAAATTACCAAACAATCAAGCAACTATAGCATGCAGCTTGAACGAAGGAAAAAAGGAATGGCATAACTGAAAAATAAGACAAACCTAAGGCTAAACTAATACTCAAGAATAGCTAAGATGGCCTGTCTCTGCGGATCACAATAGGCAAAAATGATGCAAACAAAGAGGAACAAAGTATAAATAAATTACAAAGAAACCACACAACTATAACATGCATCTTTCGGTCTCCTGAGCAAGGCAGAAACAGGAAATGGCATTAGCGAAAAATGAAGGACTAACTAAGGCTAATTCTAATAACATAAGGAACTGCCAAAGACTGATGCAAATGGGGTTGCCGAAAAGCCAACAAGACCAAACAAATACAAAAGCCATCAAAGTTGCTGAAAATTACGTGATAACCGCTCGACCAAAATGGCACCGTTCATTCTCCAACTCCCGCTTTTATATAGTTAGATAGATGTAAGATTAAAGAAAAAGGTGTTTATTATATTACAATTATTATGTGTGCTTAAGAATTAGCCATGAGAAAAATATAACTTCATCTTAACTTTATCAAAAAAATTGACCATAAGAGGTAAAGTGGATCAAGTGTTACCTGGTGATCAACAGGGATATGTTTTCGTGGGGTTTGGGTGCGTAGACTATGATATAATCGGGTAGAAAGGGACGTTAGATTCAAAAGATTAATAAATAATCGGGACCTTCCACCTAACTAGTGATGCCGCGGATATTTAGCTAAATTCCTCGATGTGTCACTTGTACCAATACTACTCTTTCTTTTTTTTTTTTTTTTGGGAGTAACTTGTACCAACACTCAAGGATGCAAATCATTTAATTGTTTTTAAGAAATGTTCAAATCACGAAATTTGGTTACGTATTTTGGGTTGGGTTTAATTGCGAAGATAAGTTAGGCAGACTTCGTCTTGCATTTTGTCACACGTTTGTATTGATGTTAATGGCGCAAGGTATTGTTTCAACTTTGAATTTGTGAAGAAAAAAACTTCACTGATGAAGAATATTCTGTTATTAAGGCAAATTGCAAATGATTAAAAGGAGGAAAAGTTGAAGTAAAAACTTACTTAATGAATGATGCCAAGGGGGTTTTGGTTTAACGGCTAAAAGTTGAAGTTCCAAAATTTAGAAATTCTAGATTTAAATCTGGCTTTCTCCCTCATTACTTTCTAAATCTCATTCCTCTTTAATAAGAAAAAAAAAACTTTTGAAAAAGAAAGAAATCAAATATAGAATGAAGTACGCTATTGCACTCTCCAAAAATTTTTGATGAAATGAAATAGTATGCTTTCTCTTAATGCATCGGGTGAGATTTGAATGCACCCGATGGTGCAGCACATCGAGGAATTTAGCTAAATATCCGTGGTATTGGCATCACTAGTTAGGTCGAAGGTTACGATTATTTATTAATCTTTCGAATCTAATGCCCCTTTTCTACCAGATTATAGCCTTGTTTGGAAGGTAAGTTTTTTGCCAAGTTTGTTTGCTATAAGTTTTTTAAAAATTTTAGTTACAGTAATCTAAAAAAATTTTTAATTTATACATTTTAAAATATTCAAAAATTTACACACTTCAAAAATTTTTTTAAAAATTTTATAATACACTATAGTAAAGTTTTAAACAAACACAAAAAAAAAATTCACTTGCCAAATAAGGTGCATATCATAGTCTCCGCACCCAAAACCCCACGAAACATCCCCGTTGAGCGTTGACCTGCGTATCTCAGAATGCCTATTTCACCAGGTCCCACTGGCAACCTTTCAAGAAGTCATAAAAGGTGTGCCAACAGATTAATCTGCTGAAAACAAATCAAGGTGGAGAGGTAGAAAGGATACAGAAGTAGGTGGGTCGTAAGAGGCAGTAGAGCTCTTCAACTTCTCTTCCCAGAACGCACAAAGAATAAATCAGTCAGTCAACCACGCTACTTTATTCGACTCAAATATAAGTAATGCTAAATTAACACGGCAACCATTCCTCAAACTTTTCAACACGAAAAGAAACAAGGGATTATGAAAGGATCCTTAAGGTCATGTTAAGCCTAGGTACTTACATCCAAAGCTACTTAATTAATACAATGCAAAACACGCTAAAGTAGTCAAAATCAATGAATGCATTAGGTGTTGCTTCTTTAGGCAGTGCTCATATTCCTTAACAATGCAAACATGAAACAGCATGAGCAAGATGCAGAAACTGTAAAACTAGCTTGAATCAAGCACTGATGAACAGATTAAACGTTGAGAACCTCGTGATACAAACTTTCAAGTAACTCTTATGATATGAAAACGATCGGCAAAATGGATGGCATTGGCCACTCAGCTCAACAACAACAGAAATAATGTCCCCATCATGATGGTGAAGCAACAACAACTGAGAAAGTTCCCATCCAGGCCCAAACCAAAATAGAAATAAAATGCACACACACACACACACACACACACACACACATATATATATATATATATATATATATATATAATACATGTTATCTTCCTCAGGAGGAAAATAATATCATGGAGGCATTGACAAGCCAAGCAAAGACACATTCTAAAGCACAAAACAATGGGATATTAACTATATCAGTTGTTTGTTAGGTTATCCATCGTTGAATTTCACCTTCAACTGACAACCATTTCCAAAATCAATTTGATCAAGGTTCAGCCCAAATCCAACTTTTTAAAGCTTATGGGAAAAAGAATTATGCATGTCCAAAACCATATTAGGTATCCTTGCTCAGTCCATGCAAGACAGGTGAAAACTTAATTTCAACCCACAACTTGCTTCAAGCTTCAACGTCCACTTGTATTGCACTCTATAAAGTATTGTAATAATTAAAAATCTCATCAAGGCCAAAATGCACTATGTACAGTATGCAATCAATTCAAATCCAGTCAAACAAGTATCTAATATAAGAAGAGGTGCTTACACCATTTTTTGCTGCACCGATAATCAGGTTAGGCCAAAGTTCACTTTCAATTAGGATGATTGCATTTGGCATCCAATAACCGAGAAAAGCCTCCACAGCAGCAGGGGCATCAACTGGAGCAAACTGGTTCCCGCATAAAACTACTTAATGAGATTAAAGGAACTGGCAACACAACATAATATGATCAAGATAACAAGACTCGTCAAGCATGAAGAGCACAAAAAATATATAAAAAATGAAAATGCCATCAATTTTTCAGGATACACCACCAACCAGAGACATCAGCAATATCTACAATTTTAGATGGGTCATTAGGTAAACTGTGATGAAAAAAGCATATTGACTTGCTCAATAACTTAGAGCATCTTAATTTCATTAAAAGTACAGGCCACTGCGTGTACACCTTTTAAATAATGTCTGAAAAATGTATAACAAACAGATGCAATCACCTGATATATGACATTAGCTGTAAGCTCCTTCTTTATGGCCTCACTACAGAACGAAAAAACAAAAGGAAATGAAGACAAAAGCAAACAAGATGAGATGAATAGGCAACAAATGTAATTTCCTGTTAATTATAAACTTTAATCCAGAGAGAGAGAGAGAGTTGGGGAATTATAAGTGTTTTTGCAGTAATTTCTTTATAAAGGTAGACCTCCCACGGTATGTCTGTCAGTGAAATTACTGCCTACCCTTTTCTTTTGAGAACTTGTACTAGTCTAAAGAATAACCAAAAGTTGACCTATTTTTCAAGTTTAGTAGATCCAAGAGCAAAGGTTGAGCTAAAACTGTTTTCAAGTTCCCTGGCTGCGAAGCAAATATGCTACAGTCCGGTCTTTGACCTCTGACTGTGAAATTACTGATTGAACATAAGTAAATTACAGTAAATATTCTCAGTCATGTTAAGGCGGACTACTTTGTGGAGTCCCTTTGGGAAATCCCTCTAGTCTCCAGAAGTGCACCAGGCTTTATGGTGACTTTCAAATGAAAATCTATTATGACCTTCATCAAACTAAAATATTACTTATTCTGCATTATAATATCTTTCGTATCATTCATCAAACTAAAATATTACTAAAGTTTATTCCTCAGCTGTGTTGCCGTAATCAGTCCAACTCACGTAATCCCAAGAGAAAATTACAGGGTCTGTTTGGATTGTAAGTTATTTGGGATTATTTGGGATATTTTTACTGTAGCACTTTTTGTGATGTGATGTATGTGAGATAAAAAGATATTGGGAAGATAAAAAGGTGTATTGAAAATTGTAAAGATGATGTAAGCAAATAAAATTGGGGAAATATGAAGCAATCCAAACAAATCCTTCTGCTATAATGAATTAAGGACCACTACACCCCTTTAAGTAAAAGTTGCAACTGTTAGATGACATACATTTCAAGACTTTCCAGCAAGTCACTACACAAACTTTTTTATCAACATAAGTAGATAAAGAGCGAAGAGCTCTGGTGACCTGGATGGTTTTCGTCGACCTCTCGCGTGCGGCGCATGTGATTGAGAGCGTTATGTTGTTCGCGCATAGCACTTCGGTTTCCGATCTGGTCTCCCATGTGCCCGTGTTTCCTTGTTTCTGTACGTCTGCAGCATTTGCTTTCTTCCCACTACCTTCTCTCTCTCCCTTTTTTGGACAACGTTGCTCTGTCGCTTGCCCAGCCATATCCTCCACTTGCATCTTGTCTATTTACTTTAGGGTTAGATATACAGAACAACAAATGCTTCTCCGCCGCTTCTCCTCTCCGCCCCATTCCTCACCAAAATTATACAATCCGCCGCTTCTCCTCTCCGCCCCTTTTCTCACCAAAATTATACGACCAAAATCTTCAGCAGCGGTGAGCCTCCTTGCTCTTAGCTTCTTTTCCTTTTTTTTTTTTCAATTTGTAACTTCCTTATTTTTTGTCGATTTGCAGCTTCCTTATTTTTGTCAGTTTGCAGCTTCGTTGGGTGATGGCGATTGGAGAAGCTGGTATTGAAATTCTCGGGAGTGTGTTGTGGGCATCATTTCTAGCTCAAAGTTTGAGATTTTTGGTAGGCCTTTGCATAGCTTTTGGGTTAGAAAATCTTTTGTTTTATCCCGTTTACTTCTCTTGGTCGATTTCACCGATCTTCAGGTGGCTTATGGGTTTTTTTTAAGGATTCGTTGTTTCCGTCGGGTGTGCGCTGATGTTTTGAACCTTTGGTTTTTGTTTCCCCGATCTGTGTTTTTTCTTGTTCCCTTTTTTTCTTTTTTTTTTATTTCGTTTCTTCTTTTCAGCTGTGAAGATGGAGATATTGATTTTATTGCCTTTCGCTTTTATGTTTTGTTACTAAATCTGGGTTTTTGGTTGTTCCTTTTTTTTTTTTCCTTTAGAGTCTTCGATTTTTGGCTCACTAATAAACATGCCGCAGCTTTCCTCTTCTTCTTCTTCCCCGTACTGCACTATTTTTTACAGACTCTTGTAGATCGATAGCTGATTGTGATTTGTGTGTGAAATGTGCAGGTTAAGGAGAGAAAAGGTAAGAAGAATCAGCAGCGATGGCGGTGCCTTTGCTTTCGAAGAAGACAACGAAGAAAAGGGTTAACAAGTTCAAGCAACCCCAGAGTGACCGAAAAATTTCCATCAAGGTATATCACCGTGATTCACTTGAAAAAAATTGTCCTTTTTAGTTTTTTTAATATTTTAGGAAATGCGCTATATATAAGGCATTTGCAAATTGATCTTTATTTTCGTGTTCTGTTTGCGAAATAGGAAAATGATTGTGGAAGCTTTAAAGAAAATGATCAGAAATGTAAAGGAACTAACTTGGAATCTTTGATTAGGTTTAGATTTTGTTTTGTGTTTTATGATTTTCTCATGACTATAACAGCTCTTGGAATCGTCTTGCAAAAGTAGAATTTGCTGTTCATGGGATTGACTATGAAGGCCATGCAAAGTCATTGGTTTTGTTAAAGCTTCAAAACCTGTGGTATTGTTGTTCCTTTGAATTTTGAGTAATTATGGGCTTAAATTTTATAGCACTGGTTTTTCATGGCTCTATTTGAAAGCCACTTAAAACCCATTAAAGATGTCTGCTTTGCAGAACGTTGTTCATGGGATTAGTATACATTTGAAGTATTTATCAGGATATGAAAGAATTCATTTCTCTTTTGTATGAGGTGTGCTTGATTTTTATAACTCCGTATATTTGTTGCTGCCTATTCACTGAAAAAAGGAAATAGATGGTACCTTAGTTGTTCTAAGTATGTCTTCAGCTATGGTGAATTAAATGCTATAGGTTTTCTCCTGTGACTTTTCCTTTCCTTTGTTTTTTCTTTGTTATATGTTCTCTTGCATACTGTACTTTGTTGATGTTGTTCTTGGCGTTTTATGATTTAGGTTATTTTACTGATTTTTCATCCTGGCCTTGTGCATTAGTCTTCGGAATCTACGGTGGAGTACAAAACGTGAATGCCCATAGAAGCTACGAGTGTAGTTATTAGCATTATTAAAGATAATGGATTTGGAGTTTGGAGTAGTTGAGGAGAGCTTGAAGACTTTTTTTGGGTTAGCTGCAGATAGAATTTGGAATCCTCGATAGAATTGTCTACAAAAATAAGAATCAGCATCGAAGGTGCTCTTATTTTCAGTACCTGCTTAAGGTTGGTTTTTTTTTTTTTTTGGCCTAAAGTTTCAGTTTTTACGTGCTCAGTGAAAAGCACTAACCTGTATGCCTTCAAGCATTTGCTTATTGGGTTTGTTGGTTTAAAATTAATTGTGATTTTGTGACAGGTTAGACGGGATTTGAGGCTTCTGCAATCAGCAAAGTTGGAGGAAATCTTGAATTCCTGCTTTCTGGTAATCCATGGCAAAGGGCCTAAACAAAAACTGTAGCTTTTGGAAAGGTATAAACATAAAGAAGGGCATATTTTCCAACATTGTTGTTTACCATATGCTTTGATTAGTGATTCATGCATTTTTTTTTTGGAGGAAATAGCAACATTTCATTGAGGTTTCATCAGTAGATCGCAAAGCCATAAATTCTTAAAGTTTTCTTAGTAATTTGATGGGGAGGCTTCGAAAAGTTAAATTGGAAGTTGAAAGTTAATATCCAAGAAAAATTGATTAAATGACCAGTCTGTGAATGTAATGTACAATTAGCAATGATTAGATTCTTACTTTCTGTCAAATTGCACATACCAAAACTTTTGGCCTTCCATTTGGGTTTCAGTCTGAAGCGGAGAAGGTGTGATGGTGGCAAATATAACTTTTTGGAAAAGCTTCTTGGAGTTGTACGTTTACTATCAAAGGTAGTACATTTGTTTGTGATTTGTTGCTCACAGTTGTTTCTTTAAATTGTTATTCTATCTTCAGTTTTCTACGCGTCTCAGTTGAGCGTATGTTGCGAGGCATGCCATAAACTATGATCTTACATCTGTGCTTTTAAAAAATTTCCCATTCTTTTGCTGTCCAAATTAGTCCAAGTCATTGTCCATCAAAATCTTTGGACCTTAGAGGATTAAACTTGGTTGATTTGAGTCTCTTCCATTGTTCTTGTGCTATCTTCCTGTAGTAGCAAATAATTAACAGATCGCTGCTGCCTTCTTTCCTTACCGTTCTCTTTCATCTACTTCTCTGGTATCGTTGTCCACGAGAGAAATATAATTAGCTGGAATCTTCGTTCTTTCCCAAGGAAGTGTATATGCTCTTCCTCCTTACACCACAACCAGTGGGAGAGCTAGAGTAAGGATGTGGTTATTTTCAATTTCTTATGGGGCTTTTCAGCGATTAGTTTCCTTTTGGTCTATTTACATCCAACAAGTACTAATTTTCGATGTAAGTGGTTGGGAAGCTACTCCCAGATCCAATTCTCGATGTAAGCGGTTGGGGAAACTCCATCAACCTTGATATAAATTGCCAACCTTTTAAATTCTTTTTTTTCCCAATTGGAGATCGACAGATTCTTCTTTTCCGTTTTTCCTATCATCCTCTCCTCATATATAGAATTTTTCATCTATTTTCTCCATCATTTCCTTCTGCTAGAGACATGTCTTTTGCAGTGAAAAAGCAGTCTTTTTTACACATTAATGATGTTTATTTTTGAGTAAATTTAAGTCATGACCTACATTTTTTGCATTTTTTGTACTTTTGGTTTCTTGAGGATCTCAGGTTTTCTTACTTCAATTTCTATGGGTTCTGTGAATAATATGTTGGTGTTATGCTTTAATATTGTGGGTAGGGGGGAGGGTCTCAGCTTTTGTTATTTATGTGATTTTATTGTAGAATTTTGTTTCTGCCAAGTTTAGGATTGATCTCAAGTTGGCTATGGAGATTTTTTCTTCCTTTCAATTTTCATGGAGTCTAATGTAAATTTGGAATTTCAAAATTTTCCTTTTACCTGGTCTAATTTTCTAATTACTAGGGGATTTGACACATAAAATCAAGGCGGTGTTAGATTTGTTCATCTGTGTTTTTTCTTTGGTATTGATGTGAGAAATTCGTTTCTGAAAGTGTAAATTTTAATTTCTTGAGTTGATTTATTTTGTGGAGTTTGAGGAGGAAAAAATGTTTTTGAAAAGGCATGCTTGTCTTAGTTGAATTTGTTGATTCCCTATTGTGCTGAATTGTGATTGTTTTGATTCGAATTGTAGATGATGATGGCCAATTGTCATGCTTCTTTAATTACTAAACATGACTTTGTTCTTATGTGGAGCAGCAACTGTAGGCTGATATTGGTGAGACTGAAGCTGATAAGGTTGATGAGGCTGCCCTCATTGGCAATGAAAAGCATGAATCTAAGTGTATAACAAGTTACTTTTAGAATGTGTTTCTGTTTTATCTGGTGCTTCTTTCTGGTGTCCAAGGTGGAGATGATGCCTCTTTCCGACATCATCTCTACCTTAGAAGTTGCTGAATTAGTATTTTCTCTGAAATGTATTTTTCCCATGTTTTCCTTCAAAACAGAGGTGACCAAAGAAAAAACATTACATCTTTCCATTACATGTTTGTCTTATCCTTTGGTTTCTCTTTTTTTCCTTTTTTTTGGGATTTACCCTTGTCCTTTGTTTCTCGTGTTTTGTCCTTGTGTTTTGATGATATGAGACTTCTTTGCACATTTGTCTGCAAGTTTTTTGCTGCAATGGCGCTTGAATTGACTTGGTTGGTGAAAGTTTTTGTGTTACATGTATTTTATATCCCTATGATTTTGTTCTATCCATATGTGATACTTCTTTATGTCTGTTTTCTTGACCTGATTGCCAGTTTTGTTTTTCAGTATTATTCATCTTCATTTCAATGGGAACTCACTGCTCTAAATTAGGCTTTTGCTGGTAGCCTTCTAGCCTCAGATCCAACATCCCTTATTCCTGTGATCTTGGTAATTCTTAAAACTCTGTTAAATGTATAAAAATGTAATATTTGTTCCCTTTTTCTGATTTTTTTCTTCTGGGATTTTAGAGAAATGTGGAGAAAATGCGAGGATGAAACTGCCAGCATTTAAAGAATGCAGTTTAGATGAGCTAAAGATGGCACCTTCAAGATTCTCAATTGAAAACATTGTATCAGAACATGGAGATAGAGCTCGCAATGTTGTCTACAAAGGGCAGCTTGAAGATGACGCCTCTTGGATTGCTGTCAAACATTTCAATAAGTTAACCATGAGTACGGTGGATGTTATTCAGATTTAAGATTTGTTGTATGCAATTTGTAGGTTGATAAGCGAGGAAACTTATTGCAGGCTGATGTGATTTGAGACATTGATTATACGGTTGTTATGCCATTTGAATTGTACCTTTGTTTACAATCAAATAGGATGAAGTATTTTGTTTCTACCAAATGGGATGAAGTCGCTTTCATTTTTTTTCTTACTCACTTTGGCTTTTACTATTTTGCATTTTCTTGCGTACAGCCTTATTAACTCTCCTCCTTCACTTTTTTTTTTTTTTCTAATCTTGAAAATGATCTGAGAGCATAGGAAGTAAAATCTAAGCTCTAATGATGCATATTAATGGACCTTGTAATTAAATCATAATGCAACCTACCCTTGAAATAGCAAGTGCAGCTGATAACTTAGACAAAGTTTTATAATATTTTGGTTCTTTAATGAGAGTAACACTGACTATTTTTTACATGATTACATACTTAGATGAAAGTTGACTTTAATTTTGGTTTAATATTTTATTTTGATTTATTTGTAACTAAATTCTATCAAAAAACAAACAAATTTCATTAATGATCCATTTGAATTAGTACAAATTATTTTATTAAATTGGGCATCTTCATCCTTTTTCCCACCGTGCATAGCACGGTTTATGCCTCCTAGTGTATTGATTAATTGCCATGGAAAGTCACTTCATACGTCACATAATGTCCAAAAGCAGCTCTATCTCTCCACCAAACTTCAACGATTGACTGCTATCCAGTCAATATTAACTTTGCAATGAACATTTGCGTCCCACCAAAAAACGAAGCTACGAGATTCCAGCTCCAAATTTCAAAGTTAAAATTAATTAATGGAAAATGAACTTACAATGCTGACAGCGTCGTCGACGTCATCAAGACAGTAACGTCCGGCCTCCTCGTTAAACAGCATTTTATCACCGGAATCGCAGCCATTCCTTCACCTATTAGAAATAATCAAATAATTAAACAATTATTATAGCGCGAGAAAATACTAGTAGTGGTAGATTTTAAACACAAAAGGAAAAATTAAGCAATTAATAACCTAAAGAGACGGCGTGGAACCAAACTAAAGGTCCGGCGGGCCGAGGAAGCGAGGGGCGGCCGAGACGCTCAGTCCACCGTTTCGGATGCTCGAGACCTCGGAATTTGCGCCACCGTAGGTGGAGGTTTATCATCGGCGATAGACCGTAGGAAAAAGCTCGGTAGATTTTGTAAATTAGTTCACCTTTCCCCCTAGCCATTTGACGCTACTGAATCTACAGTACTAACTGTGGAATGAAGCAGGCCCCGGTGAATGCCTGAGCCGTGCCGTGTGGGGGGCTTTGGGCTTGACAAAGTTTGATGGCATCTGTCTGTACGTGTTTTAAGTGGGCCCTTTCGTATAGATAATTTTACGAGTTCCGTAAAAGATTGTGTTATAGGGCAAATTACTCAGAATATGGTCGAGAAAAAACAAATTCGGACATCTACGGCTCTGAGCCTCTGATAAGGTTCTGTTGCAAATCTATAGGTACCAGACCATATTAGCCCGATACTTAAAAGTCAGTCAAATTTTTTTTTTGAGCTCTGCAGGAAAAATTTTAAAAAAAAAATTTTTGTCAGCTGCCGGGCTGACAAGACCCGGTAGCTAACAACTTCTGGAAAAAAAGCTGGCTATCGGCTGCCAGGCTCTCATCTAATTTTTTTTTTTTTTAAATTTTGCAAACTCTCCGGCTTTCTAAATTGAACAATCCACGGAATTAAAGTGGAGATGAGAATAAAACATAGGTTACGTCTACGGTGGAAAGTTCACTTTTCTGCGCATAAGAAGCAGAATAAGGAGGCCAACTCTACTACGTGGAGACGCACGAAGAAGTATATTCGGGCACCGGAGAAAGCGAATTATATATGGATAAAAAATGTTATATATTTTAAAATCACAATAAAAGTTCTCTTAAATATTTATTCATCATCTAATGTCCAATATTTATATTTGATAAATTAAATTAGTTAATTAAATATTCTATTATAATATAAGTAACTATATGTCATTGACAGGTGTCGAACCTGTGCTATAATAATAAATATAACCTAACTACCACCTCTCCAAAATTTTTTGATAAAATGAAATAGTATGCTTTCTCTTAATGCATCAGGTGAGATTTGAATGCACCCGATGGTGCAGCACATCGAGGAATTTAGCTAAATATCCGTGGCATTAGCATCACTAGTTAGGTCGAAGGTCACGATTATTTATTAATCTTTCGAATCTAATGCCCCTTTTCTACCAGATTATAGCCTTGTTTGGAAGGTAAGTTTTTTGCCAAGTTTGTTTGCTATAAGTTTTTTAAAAATTTTAGTTACAGTAATCTAAAAAAATTTTTAATTTATACATTTTAAAATATTCAAAAATTTACACACTTCAAAAATTTTTTTAAAAATTTTATAATACACTATAGTAAAGTTTTAAACAAACACAAAAAAAAAATTCACTTGCCAAATAAGGTGCATATCATAGTCTCCGCACCCAAAACCCCACGAAACATCCCCGTTGAGCGTTGACCTGCGTATCTCAGAATGCCTATTTCACCAGGTCCCACTGGCAACCTTTCAAGAAGTCATAAAAGGTGTGCCAACAGATTAATCTGCTGAAAACAAATCAAGGTGGAGAGGTAGAAAGGATACAGAAGTAGGTGGGTCGTAAGAGGCAGTAGAGCTCTTCAACTTCTCTTCCCAGAACGCACAAAGAATAAATCAGTCAGTCAACCACGCTACTTTATTCGACTCAAATATAAGTAATGCTAAATTAACACGGCAACCATTCCTCAAACTTTTCAACACGAAAAGAAACAAGGGATTATGAAAGGATCCTTAAGGTCATGTTAAGCCTAGGTACTTACATCCAAAGCTACTTAATTAATACAATGCAAAACACGCTAAAGTAGTCAAAATCAATGAATGCATTAGGTGTTGCTTCTTTAGGCAGTGCTCATATTCCTTAACAATGCAAACATGAAACAGCATGAGCAAGATGCAGAAACTGTAAAACTAGCTTGAATCAAGCACTGATGAACAGATTAAACGTTGAGAACCTCGTGATACAAACTTTCAAGTAACTCTTATGATATGAAAACGATCGGCAAAATGGATGGCATTGGCCACTCAGCTCAACCATTCCATGTTTTTGGGAGGTAACTCCAAAGCTGTGGAGCCAAACCAACTTGCCTAATTTATGAACCATTGGTACGTGGTAACTCCAAAGTGTACTTACAGTGCCTAATCAAGTAAGAAATGACCATTAAATTGTTTATTTAGTTATTCTAAATTTGTTTATTGCTTAAATTTTTTTGCTCCAATTTTATTTACTAACAACCTTCAACTCATAGGGTATAGAAATAAATTTACCCTATCTTATATCAGTTATAGGCCCAAATTCATGTTAGCGGATGTCAATGAGTTTGTTTGGATAAGAATTTATTTGGATGATTTATTTGATTCAGTTACTGTAGCACTTTTTATGATGTGATGTATGTGAGATAAAAAGGTGATTGGGAATTGTGTATATAGTGCAAGCAAAACAAAATCTGAAATTTTGTTTCCAAAACCAAGTTGTCCAAACAAACTCAATGCTATTTTAAAAACTTCAGAGGAGGTGGGTGCAACTATCAGAAACCTCTCTTGAGGTTTCTGCAATTATCCCTTATATAGTGATGTGCCATCTAGTTGTAATTAATACACATCCAAAGAACCTCTCAGTGAAGAATCAATTCGGGACTAGTCTCATCAAACATTTAACCGCACTCATGGAGTTGCACGTTAACCAATTTGTTTGGGGCGTTGCCATTCTGATACCCTCCTTACTCCTCCTCCTCCGTCATAAAAAATCCAGCCACAATCGGCTTCCACCTGGACCGCCGGGATGGCCAATTTTTGGCAACATGTTCGACCTTGGTTCTATGCCGCACAGGACATTAGCAGGGCTCAAAAACAAGTACGGTCCGGTTGTTTGGCTAAGGATTGGTGCCATGAATACGATGGCCGTACAAAGTTCCAAGGCAGCGGCCGAGTTGTTCAGGAACCATGACATCTCCTTCGTGGAAAGAACAGTAACTGAAAACATGAAATCCCATAACTTCGACAAGAGTTCGTTGTCATTAGCTCCCTATGGAAGCTATTGGCGCGTGTTGAAGCGAATGATGACCGTGGAGATGATAGTTAACAAAAGAATCAACGAAACTGTGGCCATTCGGAGAAAATGCGTAGATGATATGGTGTCATGGATAAAAAAAGAAGCCCATGCCGGGAAAGAATCGTGGCGAGGAATTCATTTGGCCCATTTTGTGTTTCTTGCATCGTTCAACATGCTTGGGAATCTCATGCTGTCGAAAGATTTGGTTGAGCCGGAAAAGGAAGAAGGAGTAGAATTTTTCTCGGCCATGGTGAGATTGGCGGAGTGGGTGGGTCATCCAAATATCGTTGACTTGTTCCCGTGGCTGAGGTGGCTTGACCCACAAGGGCTAAGGAAAAAAACAGCCGGGGAAATGTGGAAAACGATGCAAATTGTTTCCAGGTTTGTCAAGGAGCGACTTCAAGAACGTCAAAGGGGTGGTCCCAGAAAGAATGACTTCTTGGAAGTGCTGCTGGAATTTGAGGGCAACGGCAAGGGCGAGCAAGCTAAAATCTCTGACCACGATCTCAATATTTTAATCATGGTAATCTCTCTATTTCTTTGTATTTTGTTGAGATTTGCTTTTTGGTCGTTAAACTTCCTTCAGAACCATTAGAAAAACAAATTCCATCCTGACGTGCTGACACGGCAGGATGATTTGAATTTTTTTTTTTTTTAATTTCAAAGGCTAAGAACGGAAACCAGACAGTTTTTGAGGGGAACAAAAAGGATTAGTAGGCTCCGTAGGCTGTGGCGAAATCTTTCGGACTAGTGCGTTTGGATTGCAATTTTTCAAAGAAAAAATTATTATATTTTGTAATGTACACATTTTTTAGTTACTTTTTTATCTTATATATATCAAATCACTGCAGTAATTTTTTTTTTTTTATAAAAATTCCAGAAAAATTCAATCCAAACAAACTTAGATCTCTTGATTTTGAATGTAAAACTATCTTGTGGGATAATTTTAAGTGGATGCATAATTACTTCACAAAAGATACTGCAATAAACACAGTAAAAAGTAAAACTTGCATTTACGCCAACGTGATGTAATAAACTTTTAAGTATGCTTGCAAAATGAGCAAGTTGTACTTACTCAACACAAAGAAAGGAAGAGTTCCATTGTCGAACAGAGTAGACTAGTTACTCTCATGGGGACCTGCTAATCTTGGAAAACAAAACATTTTTGCCCGTTGTGCCGTATAATGGGAAAAAGCCTTTGTCAAAATCACAATTGTGTGACTTTTTTTTTTCAATAATATTTTAAGGAATTAGCCTTCATCCTCAAACATTTTTTTTGATAATTCATCCTCAAACACTTGGTCATTTTAGTGCTAAAAGAAGTTGTTTTTATAAATTATTAATATTGATTCGTATGTTGAAGCAAGTTTGACTTAATCCTTCCGCAGAAGAAACCAATACACGGCATAAACTTTATGAAAAGTCAACTCTAACTAAAAAATGTGGAAGTTAATCCCCTAGTTCCTAAAAGCAACTATTAACTTTCTAAAATATGTAACCAAAAAGAGACAAAATACCCAATTCATATAGAACATGGATTGGCCTCCTTGAAAGTTTTGCAAAACTAATATCAAACAATTTCGACTATGATTTCTTAGTTAGAAATTGCTACAGATCAAGGACTTGTTCTCAATTATTTCTTATTTTCAAAATGAAAATCATAATTCAAAATCGTCTATTTTCGTGATTGTTAGCAAAGGGCCAGTTTAATTAACGACATAAAGTTTATGAACTTAATATGAATAACTAAAAGTTCTAAGATTTAATAGATGTTTTTCAAGTGGTTCAAGGACTTCCATAGTAATTTACCCTTAGCAGATTAAGGTCAATAATGACGGAATTAACGGAAACTAAAAACAAATACATACCCAGGCTGTTGTCTATGAAGTCACTAACTCTATGGGAGGGATTCTCAAACACGACTTTTTCTCAAAACGATGTCTAATCTGACTAAATATTTCAATGACTCAACCAACGAAGAATCAATTAAAACAAAAAATTACAAAATTCTACTAACCCTAAATCGATAATCGGATTATCCTTAACCTCTATTTTTGATCTAGCAGGCTAATCGGCAGGCTCCCTTCACTTTATACACCCTTTTTTTAAAAAAAAAAAAAAAAAAAAATCACTTCTAAATGATTGTTACTGCTGCCCTGGAAGTCCAAAGTAAATCGGCCGTTTTTTTTATTGATCAAGTCCAAAGTAAATTTTCTGGCTTTTTCTCATTTACTGTGCTATTACCTTCTGGTTTGCTGAAGCAATTATTTACTCCGTCACCCCGAAAAATTAGCACTGCACAAATGGATATATTTTTTCCACTGTCATTGATAATCTTCTTCTCTTAAAGTTTCTATCCATTTCTGATGGAGCTCAAAAAGCTCATTGTAACCCTCTTCTTTGTTGTGGCCACCATGGGTATTTGGAAGTATAATCAGTTAGGGTATAGAAGTAGCAGACAACAAGTTGTGTTGTTGGAATAGATTTATAAGCGCCTTCATGCGAGTTCTTACTTGTGTCATAATTTTAAGAGGGAGGCTTGGTAAGGGCTCCATAGTGAGGCCGAGGATTATTACACAGAAAACGTATTAATTGAATACGTACGTGGTAGAATAACAAAAAAATGTACAAGAAAAAATTATAACAAAAGATCCATTTGTAGTATTTTTGTACTGCTATTGTTTAGGGTGATGCTTATCCATATATTAAAACTAAACATGGATTCATAGAGATGGCTGTCATCCTAAAGGATGTGTATTCCCAAGCCCTCTTTATATAACATATAAACAAAGTTTAAAAGAGAGAGAGATATAGCGAGTAATGGCTCCGTTTCTGATTTGCTTACTCCTACTTAACAAGCAAGTTTTTCTAAATAAAATATTTCGTTTGTATCATAAATATATTTTTATATCTCACGTGCATCACATCACATCACAACAATAAAAAGTATTACAATAATTATTTCAAATAATACTCTATTATTTCAAATAATACTCTGTCCAAACGAGTATGTATCCAAACGAGTATGTTTCTTAATTAGATGATTCCATTCCATCCATGTAACACAACAATCGATCTCAGACATTGCCAAGTCATCCGTTGAGTCTGCTAATTACTAAATAAAAAACAACGGGGTGTTGGCATGCAGGAAACATTCATAGCTGGTACAGAAACAACAAGCGGCACAATGGAATGGGCCATGGTTGAGCTCTTGAGCAATCCCTCGGTCATGTCTACGCTCAAAGACGAGCTTAACGAGGTTGTTGGAGGAGGTAACAAATTCCAAGAGGCCGACATTGATAAACTCAAGTATTTGCAGGCGGTGGTGAACGAAACCCTTCGGTTGCATCCTCCAATTCCGCTCTTGGTCCCTCGAAAAGCAACTCAGGACACCAATTTCATGGGGTACAACGTACCCAAAGGCACCCAACTGTTTGTCAATGTTTGGGCAATCGGAAGAGATCCCGAGTGCTGGGAAAACGCAGACACTTTCAGGCCTGAAAGGTTTCTGAACTCAAATATTGACTTCAAAGGGAACCATTTCGAGTTGATACCGTTTGGTGCGGGCCGAAGGATGTGTGCTGGCGTTCCGCTAGCTCATCGCATGCTCCACCTCGTTCTGGGCTCTTTGGTGCACGAATTTGACTGGGATGTTCACAATAGCGTCGCTGATGACCTTAGGGACACAAAAGAGAGCATGGGGGTCGTGGTTAAAAAGACTCGGCCGTTGATCGCAATACCTATATCCAAAAACAGTCCTACTAGTTAAATATCATCGAATCGAGCTTACTTCGTTCTTAACAACGTTTGAAATGGCTATTTCCGGACCAAATTGAGTTCTTGGTCCATTTGGTTAATTGAATGTGAAATATTTGCTTTTATGCAAAATATGTATTCGTAATAAAAAGGGAGTCAACTCGATTTCCGGATCAATATATTGATGTTTGGACTGTGACATGGAAATTAATTATCTTTGCAATCTCTCTCTCTCTCTCTCTCTCTCTCTCTCATATTATTCAATAAAACAAAATAAACCTGTCTCATTAGTCATGAGTGATCAAACTGGGGCATAGCTGTCTAAGAGGGATCAAGGCCAAGAAGATGCGTCGTGCCAAAAGGGCCGGTTGCTAAATATGCTAGTATTTTATTTTCAGGTGATTCTATGCAAGTTTTTGCCTGTTTTTTATTCACAAATGACCTACTAACAACCTCTATAAGTGCTACCGTAGGGTTCTTCGATTCTCGCCGTCCAATTTAGATACTTATTATTTTAAACTCTTACCTGTATATCAGGTTAAGCACACTAAAACAATGTGCTTATTCGCTCGCATTAGATTTTATGAATGCTAAAAAAAGAGTGACCCTGCTGTGTATATAACTTTCTTGGTCTCTGATTAGAATTCTTGATTACTTTGTTGGTTCTTTCAAGTTTGAAGGCTTTGGCAAATAAGTTGATTGTGGTCTACGGGGTACCTCTAAAATTAATTGAATATGTAGCCCGAATTGATGATCATTGTTTTCCATTTTTATACTGGATTAAAGCTCAATTGCAGTGTTGGGGATTGGTTCATCATTTATTCAATTAATAACTAGTTCACTCCTTGTATCAAGGCCAAATGTTTCAACTTATCAATCACCGTTGTCTCGTTAGGGTTCATTGCACCGCCATAAACTCGTATGCGCAGAATTAGCCCGCCAACCAAACCTCGGAAGTGAAGGATAAAAACTGATCAAGAATGGATCACTATCATGCCACAGCTCCAACTAGAAGCCAAGAAAACAAGAAGCCCTGGATTGCAGCACTGTGGTTTGGTTGGATTTCTTATTTTCCTAGTTACACTCTCAATCTGTTACCAGCTCTGGCTTTCCTCTACTCAGAAAAAAAAAATTCCAGTTATCTGCAGGGACTCCACGTGGGCCTATTTTGACTAATGAAACTTTGCCCCACGACCGTACCAGGGCTCAGGGAGAAGCATGGCCGGTGACTGCTCCGCTGTGTGACCGAGAATCGGCTCCACCAACACCATGGCCATCCTCTCAGACCACGCCGCAATCCGCCATTCCAAGGCCGCAGCATAGCTCATGCCAAAAAGTCTCGTGACTACTGCAAGGATTCATGGCATGAGCTCCCTACAGAGCCCCTTCTGGCGCCTGCCAATGCCGATATACACCACAGAAATTTTAGTGAATAGGACAATCAACGACGCGGTGGCTCTTAGGCAAAACCTTATCGTACGTTGATCATCCTGGCTTTATACTCGTTCCATCATCATTCAAACAGATAGTTCGATTGCCTCGTATTAGTCTCCTTGCGTTTTTCACACACACACACACAGTATGCAACTCTAAATTGGTCGAGGTTATTAGAAGGATACAATCTCTAAATTGGACAGGACACAAACCATTGCATAAGCTTCTAAATGAATCTTCATGGTATCTTAATATGCACCTCTATCATTCTTTAGTACACGTCCCCACTCCAATGCTTAAGATGCTATATAATGACTACTTCTCACACTTTGTGACACGAGCTAATGAGACAGGAATACAGGTTTAATTAATTCCAGTGCCTGCAAGAGCTTCTTAACCAAGAACACAAACCCCAGAGTGAGAAGGGGGCTTTCTTTTGTAAGATTGACAAATGATAGTGCATTACCTCACGTCTCATCCTTTGTATTGGAACCTCATGTTTATGTGATAAAAATTCCTGTTCGTTTAACGACGGAAGGAGGTTCACGCGACGCTAAAAGTCTACATCCGCCTCAGCCTTTGCCCGTAGAAGTTTATGAACGAATAACCGACATCTCATCTACGATCGTATGCAGTGCAATTATGGGTACAACCGAAAAACAGCTCAAGGATCCTGCGGTCTCATTAGATGGACCCCCTCATCTTCAGGAGTCAACCTTAATGGATTCGTCAAAAAAGTCAGACCTTAATTAAGGCATTGACTCTATAATCTCTGGACAATTATAGCCTGAATGTTTCGCACCATAGCATCTGGACTTTTGCTTGAAATCAAGGGCGAACACCATCTTTTGTATTTTGTTTCACTTCTTAAGTATTGCTCAAAATTGTTGGCGTGGTAAGCCAAGCACCATTGATTGAATGGCTCTTAATTATCTTCAGAATTGCATTAGAAATTGAAAATGGACGTACGCGAAACTTTATTCTGTCATCAAGAAAGAATGCGCGAACAAGCTAGACTCATTAACTTTGGAAGTATTGTATACTAAAGAGCTTTATATATAAAGTGGGAATGGTACCTCAATTGTTTGCTGGTCTTTCGTCCTTCTCATGCGGAACTCACGTGGCCCGTGTGCTGGAAATGACATCTTAAGTGGGTTGCTGTCTTTTGCTCCTTCGTCATCATCATGCCCCTGCACCGCCCATCTTCTAATCCCCCTGCTATACAAAATAAGCAGCCGCCTTGCCCATTCTTTCTATTGGTCGGTGGATTCACCTCTCACCCTACACAATCTGCAATTCATTAAATGTTGGCGTCTCCGTGCAAGATTTGCACATCTTTAAACATGCTTTCCCGGGTTTTCATGCACCGAATAGAAGACAGGTAATCATGTAAATTTCTTTCCCTTGCATTTCAGCTTGCTCTTCTTGTTTTGCTTCATTTTATGTATTGCTTCCACTTCTTCTTCCTCGAGCTTTTCCTTCCCTCTGTTTCGTTGTGCGTCTTTCTTCATTCACTGTTATTGGTGTTTTCTGCTGTCTGCTATTACATCTATTGTAAGTGATGCTCTATTTTCCCTCCCCCTGTTCTTGTAATAGTCTTTATATTTTTTCCCCTTCCATTATTTTGTTTTTCATATTCTTCTACTTCCCATGCTTACCGCTTTTTTTTACCTGTCACTATTATTAATATTCCTTTTGCATTTTTTTTGTTTTATGATTCTCTTTGTTCTATCATTTTTCATTCTCATTGCATTGTTGTCTCTTATTGTTTGAAGTTCGATTTTTCACTTTCCTTTTGCCCAATTTTTTTGTTGCCTCTGTTTTTTTTTTCAGCTTTCCTGCTGAAATATATTGCTTTTGCTTTTGTTAGAGGCTCTTTTCTCCTGTTTTTTCTCCCGCGCTTGTATGCTTCGTGTGCTTTCTTGGTCATATTCATTTATTTACTGCTATTGTTTCTACGCTTTGCAGTTTAGTGGCATTTATTGCTATTCTTTAATTTTTGTATTTATTCCCATCTGACAATGACATTTTCCTATTATCCATTTTTGCATGGCCCTCTTTATTTCCTCCAAGTTTTGCTGACTACGAGCTGCTGCTTATTTTTCTTGCTGCGGCAAAAGGTACTTGCTTTTTTTTTATTGGAATTGAAGCATTATCTTTAATAGTTCATTCATCTTTGTTATTCTTCTTTGATCAAACGCTTATTAGCTACTTTTTTTCTCCATTTTTCGTATATTATCCTAAAAAGTTTGTTTTCTCATGCTTAAACACTTAAAAAAAATACCATATTTCTTGTTTTATTTCTCACCTTCGTTCACTTAACTTTTTTGTGTATGAAATACAAAACAAAGAATGTTGTGCCAGAAAGTAGCATCAGCAATGAAACCGAATTTCATTCAAGACATCTCTGATGGGCTATCATTCTATGACATCTTCACTCAGCAAAACCAGCATAATTTTGTGAGCTCTGGCTATATCCTGTTTTATTTTATCATTCATTATTTTCTTTCCCACTAATAAATTTTTTTTTTTGTCGATGAACAACAGAAAGTGCCCAAGTTTGTATCCTTCTTCATGCATGGTGACAAAACTCTGATCACCCTGAGAACTGGAAACAAGATAGCCACTCTTGGAATGCGTCAGAGATAGTTTACAAATAATTGGAACACATTTAAGTTTGAGCATCAACTACAATTTGACGATGCTTTAGTATTTATCCCTAAATCAAAGTCCTGCTATACTGTCCTAATCTTCAACAAACATGGAGTCGAAAAACTATTCCCTTGGTACAATAAGTTCTACATCTTCTCTGATGCACCAACCGGTAGAACTTAGACCTTTCTTTTAAATTTACTCTGCAAGAAACGTTGTTCTTCTTCTATGTTCAATAAACATATGAATGCCAGCTTTTATTGTCCATTCTTTTTCCATATCAATTTAACTTAGCAATTTATCGACAACATGCTGCAGAATTATTTTCAACCATTCAGGACCGTGCTTGATTTTTTGTAAAAAGCTTTGAATAAATCTACAACTTCAACTTTCAACGCTTCATTATTCTCATATAATATGCAATTTTACGAGGCTTCTTGAAGAAACCAAAATAACATCTTATCTTTAAACTTATGCCTTTTATTAAGGACGGTATACTTAATATGACTATGATACAATTCAAATATATTGTAGCATAAACCAAGAAAGCTATCAAACAAAAAAATGCGTTAATAAAAAAAATTAAGTTAAGCTGTTCCAATAGATGCTCACAATTACATGACACACACCAAAACATGAAATACATTAAAATCAACAAGTGTGTGTATAAAAAGTCCTTCCATACATGTTGACCAAATTGGTAACTGATAGTGTGAGGAGTCGAGCCTATGTAATTTCGTGACTTTGAAACGTGACCTTTATTACTGTGACATCATATCCAAACTCAAAAAAGTTTTCACCCGTAGAAAGCCAAATAATATGTAAATATATGAATTGTAATAAATGTTCTTTAATTCTATTAATTACACCAAATTATTTTGCCTACAAATGTTCTCCATATCGTTAGTTTATAATTGCAATCCGCTGGTTACCAAATTTCATTGTGGGCATTACATAAATTCTTCACCACGGTATATTTCTGCTAGTCTATCTCAAGCTTGTGAATGTCCGGAGAGATGCCCGGTTGATATCAAGATAATTATGCTGAACCGCATGCTTCTCTCCTCCTTTAAGATTACTAATAAATTAGATATTGTAATTATTAAATTCTCGAGCTGAAAGTATAATAAAAGGATCCTGTCATTATTACAACCCAAGGGAATAAAAAAAGAAAAAGAAAAAGAAAGGTTATTTTATAGATATTGACGGTGTACGTTGTGAAACCTTAGAATGGGCAGCCAACACGAAGGCACGCTATAGGTTTCCTGTCACAGCCCAAGTGAAACAGAAAAAAAAAAATCATAAAAATAGATAGTAATAGAAGTTGGATAGAGGATCCATGGCAACGTTATCTGTGTCCATCTATGTTTTGGGCCTTCATTTGCTTGTCATGGGAAATTTAGGTGAGACGTTGGACTCAAGGAGCGGCAGCGGTGACTTATTCAGATTACTAGGAGGTATAAACCGCGCGCTGCGCGGTAGAGATAAAAATGTGTATGCCCAATTTAGTATAAATAGTTGTGAAATACTATATTAAGGAAATACATATACAGTCAAGGACATTAATATTATTTGAAAGATGAAGAAATTGGAGTAAAAAAAAATGTAACACAACACCAGAAGAATCAAGAGATTACTGCTAGCGCACTTAGCTAACAATCTACCAGTAATTAAAGTTTACAAAAGAAAAGAACCAATGTCTTGAAGGACATGTTTCATTAAAATTCCAAAAAAAAAAAGCTCATGAAAGTGGTTGCCCTCTCCAGCAGGCAACTACGAATCCCATCCAACAACCCTTAAACATAAGCAACAAAAATTGAAGAAGCCATTGATATCCCGAAATCTTTTCCTTCTTTTCTAGGAATATCTCTTCTGGAAATGACCACAGTCCCAGTAGACACATCACGAGGTCCAATCTCAATTCTTAAGGTACTCCCTGCAGAAAAGGTAGGTAAACTTCAAAGCACAATTGTATTACATTCAACTGTAAAATAGTATTTCTTGAGATCCATACACATCACTTCCAAATATGAAATTGTTAACAGCAACAGTAGACGTTTCAAAATTGAAACTTCATACCCTTTCAGAAAACAAAGCCAACAATCACTGAAATAGCTCTAGTTGAGCTGGCCTTCAATAGATATCACTTGACTTGTTAATTATTCAAGCCAGTCTTCAAAAAGTTTTGGTTGAACAAATCACAATTGGAACCTAGCCACTCAAGTTGATTTTTTTTTCAAACTAATTTTAAACAATACCTCTAGATGCTCAAGTGAAGTGAAGTAAGGTGACAAGTCTTAAAAGTAACCAAGCTTGGTGAGATATATTACAATTAACCTTCAGGAATCTTAAAGCTCCAAGGAAGTTAGTTTAGATGTAGTCCCGCATGCATTAATATTCCCAGGAAAAAAATCATTTGCAATGTTTGTGGCCATGCATTTGGAATTTTCCTCTCCCTAAATTTCTCTTATTGTCACTCATCCTTTGGTGGGAGAAGTCCAATGGCAAGCTAGATATTGGGCAAGATACAGAACATCTACAGAAGCAGGGCAAACCTTCATCTCCCAAAAGTTATATTTCCATCCAGGTGTTCTCTGATCAGAGTCATCAACCTTGACCTTTATTCCAGCTACTTGCAGAGTTTTCTTTCACTGATGATGTAGCATTAAGAACTATAGTTCTGTCACCTGTTTTCTTCCATATTGGGACAATCACACAAGCCGAAAGCAGTCAATAATAAGAGCTATTCTATCTCAAGAAAGACAATTTTTTATGCACATAGCTAGGAAGCAGAGAGCTGTTACTTTACTGCACTGATGAGTCCAATTTCTTGACCAAAATCAAAACAAAAGTTGCAGAACTAATGTAATGCTAGAAATACAAAACCTGTCGGAGTTTAGGAAACCAAATAAGGATTCAAAAAATCATCTTTGAGAAAATTAATCAGCCCATTGAGTTCAAAACACAGCATCCATCCCGAGCCCCCGTTCACTCTACCTTTTGGGCACACACATTAGCAAATATAGTCGGTAAAACAACCAAAAACGTGCAATACGCTCAGAAACAATTAATCAGTCTCTGTCAGAACACTGCATCTATCCCCAGCCCCCATTCACTCTATCTTTCGAGCACAAACATTAGCAAACATAGCCAGTAAATCAACCAAAAACGTGCAATATGCTCAGAAACAATTAATCAGTCTTTGTCAGAAGAAGATTCTCCTTTCCAAGCATGTAATGAATATGAAAAATTAATAAAAAAGAAGCTCTTGTGCAACAAAGATTTGTAAAAAGTTAAAGGCCAACTTAGGCATTTGTAAATCACAGTTAGCACTCAAGACCAGTACGAAGTCACATAAACTACTAACGCTAAAAGCAAAATAAGCAAAGGCTAATGTAAAGCAGATTACAGGCAAACATTAGTATCAGGGAAATAAAATGAACAACCAGTAGAAAACATTTTTGAATACCTGTACAGGTGCCAGCTTAGGTGGAAGCATTAAGCCAGTGCCATCACCATGAATCATGATAGTACCTCCAACAATTTGCATGCTAATAGCCCATGATGTCTGCCACACATGTTGCCTTCGTCCATTTTCATCTATAAACTAAACAAGCAGAAAGACTGTTTAGGGAATTGCATATTTCATATTTCAAATACCACAAATAGAAAAGCCAAAAGTTGATGCAAAACAACTATATATAGTAGAATATTTTGCAAAAGTCTTCAGCAATGAAAAAAGCTCAATAAATTTTAGCATCATCGTCAATTACACCAATTGCACAGCCTGTAGAAAATCACAGAAAAGGTAAAATGGTAAAACAAAAATTTTCTCAATACACAGTACAAAATGATGACAGACACATTTTTAACTTGTATACAAGCAATCCTCTAGAGAAAAGATCGCACAGTTCAGAAAAGCACATATCCAGAACATAACTTGATCAACAACTACACCTTTTTTACAACTTTTAGGGATCTCCTAATTCCTAAAGAATAGCATAAAAATTCAATCTTAACTCATGATTAACTGCAATAACAAGTGGTCGTTGAACTTACCATGTAATCAGTGGTGATAAATGGATCATTGATAGCAAGATGACTCTAGCATCCAAACATCCAGTTCTTCCAAAGCCTGTTAGACAAAGACCCATAATAATAAAATTACAAAAAGAGATCACAGATATCAACTTTGACAAAAAAAAAAAAAAAAGCAGAACTCATCGTCACAAAAATACACTGAGACAGAATAGCTAATCAAGAAAAGCCCCTGCGAAAAGAGAAAAAATAGAACTGTGTCCGGTGTAACTACAGGTGGTAGTTCAAGTGGGGGATAACGGAGGTGTAGTTTTTGGCCATTTATTCATTTACTTGTGTCCACCATATAAGAAAGCTCTTGTACGCCCTAAAATTATAAGTTTTTTAGACACAGTTTCATATACTAAAATTGAGAAAGGTACCAATGAAATTCTTTGAACAACGACTTTATAATAATTAGTCATGAAGAAGGGCAACAATTCATGAAATTCTATGATTCTTGCCGATGTTTATATATGAGATTAAATACTCTAGAAAAGATGGGAAACGGATAGGTTAAATAAAAAGAGGAAAAAAAAGGAAAAGCAAAAGAAGAGGGTAAAGACTAAGAGTAAACAAAGTACGTACCTTTTGGAAAACAAACCCTTGTATAAGAACCCAAATTGCCACCATCGTCTTCTTTTTTAATTTTTTTTCCTTTTCTGTTTTTTATAGACAGAGCTAATTGCTGAAGCATTTATCCCTCTTCGTTCTCCGGCCACTCCTCTTCCTGCCAGCCGGTGGAGCAGATGATTCCGACAGCCGAAAATAACAAGAGAAAAGATGAGAACCTTCCCATTTACAATAGCAGTCGAGTACTTTTATCGGTATAAATTAATTAACAAGCAGCGGAGCTATTGGATTTGGATGAAAATAAGAGATGCCTCCCAAGTAGCAATCACAAGACCTTTGGTCTCAAAAAAAAAAAAAACAAGAACAAGTCAATACCTCAAGCAAGCCGTCCAGCCGAAACCTGACCCCTCCCAAAATCAACGCCAAGAAAGAATTGAAGCGGTGGTGGTGGTGGTTGTCGTTAGGGCTTGGGGGAATTGGGGGATTTGAGAAGTGGTGGCCGAGAAGAAGGAAAGGATCAAGTTTTCTATTCGATAGATAGATGAAGATGAAAAACAAAAGAACAAAAAAGAAAATAAAGAAGGAAGGACAGGATTGGAAGCAGAAGCGGCGGAGGTCTAAAGTAGGCAAAAGAAGCAGAGGAAACCCTAATATGTGGAACAACGTTTTATTTTGGTGGCACCACGCGCGAAGAGTTTAACGAGCTCATAAAAGACAGGGAGACCCACGTGCCGCGCACATGGGAGGACGACGAAACTTTTTGCTGAATGCCATTCGCACGTTATCTACTTATGTTGATAATGTTGCAAGGCTTGCAGATGTGATGATCAATTGCAACCTTGTTTCCCCAATCTTTGGGATTTGCAATGGCAATTTATTCAATGACTCACTAACAATAGCAAAGTCGGAATTGGGCTAATGCCCTTTCCCGTCGAGTCCTTGTCCCAATTGTTTTGGATGTATTCCGATGTGCTTATGAGTTATATGCCCATGGACCAGGGCATCGTACGTATCGTGTATGGATTGGTGACTACAAGTTTGTTTGGATAGCGAATTATTTGCATAAATTTATTTATTTACTTGTATTATCGGGTTATTTTTTATTTCATTTGGATTAAATTTAAAAAAATATTACAGTATTTTTTTAAAAAAAATTATCCCGAATAACCTATGAATTCTGTGGATTGTGCCCGATGAATGGTTATGAAAGAAAGAGAGAATTTGGGCCTTTTGTATTGTTTGCATTTGATTTGAAAAGAATCAAATACCACAGGGAGAAATTAGCCGCCCGTCACGCCATCGACTATTAGGTTATACTACTACTAGTGTATAATAATAATAATAATCAAAGCTCATTGAGAATATATGTTACTTGAGGAGTATACTGAGAGCGCGATCTGAACAGAGCTCCTATGCGTGTTCCCGAACTAACTTGCAATGGTCGAACAGGGGGCTAACTCCCCGTTGTACCTCCGACAGTCAAGTCAGTTGAATAGCAAGAGAGATTAGAGAAAGCAATAATTAATGTTGTATGGCATCACTGATTAAGCGTGGTACCGCACTGGGAGGATGAGCTGACAGGTCTCACTGGACAATGATTGGCTCCTCCACACTACTGTCATCCATTTTCAAGACGGCAAGGTTGGGGTCATCAGATGTCATCGACCACTACATAAATGGACAGATTAAGAATGACAGGAAATCTTGTGTTCTTGACCTCGCGGTTCTCATGCACGATTATTTAAAGGGATAATTGCAGAAACCTCCCCTGAGGTTTCTCATATTTGCACTGACCTCCCTTGTGGTTTAAAAAATTACACTAACCTCCCTTGAGGTTACTAATCCTTTGCAAATTCAGTCCAAATAATTAAAATATGGGTTTGTACTGTAGCACTTTTTGTGATGTGATGTATGTGAGATAAAAAGTTAATTGAGAATATAAAAAGGTGGGTTGGGAAATGTGTTTATGATGCAAGCGAAATATTATTTGGAATAATATGTTTTAGGGAGTGAAATTAGAATTTTTTACCAAATTTGTCATTTGTACTACATGTTCAATGGATGACAAAATATTACAAATCAATTAAAAATTAATAAACTTTAAGTAGTATAATTTATAGGCAAATACGCATTACCTATTTAAAGTACCGGCATTTTATGGGTATTTTACTTTCAAACATTTAATTTAATACAAATATTTACGCTCAAATACATATTTGTATTTACTTTCAAATATTTAATTTTTATTAAATACAAAAACTAACAATCTCTCTTTCATAAAAATATTAATATAACACTTTTTCAATTTTAGTTACAAACATTTATGTATTTAACATAAATTAAATGATTCAAAATAAAATATCCATAAAGAGTCAATACTTTATTCATGTAATGGATGAAAATCATAAAGAATTAATACTTTATGGGCTATTTCTTTTTTTAAACAAAATATTTAATTTATATTAAATAAATAACCTACCGATTTCCTTTTTGTAAAAATATTACTGTAACTCTTTTTAAATTTTACTTACAAACATTGATACATTTATCATAAATTAAATGTTTGAAAGTAAAATATTCGTAAAAAACCGGTACTTTAAATGAGTAATGCGTGTTTGCCTATAAAGAGGTGGGTACCTATTTAAAGTACCGGTTCTTTAAGAGCATTTTACTTTCAAATATTTAATTTAATACAAATATTTACGCTCAAATACAGATTTGTATTTACTTTCAAATATTTAATTTTTATTAAATACAAAACCTACCAATCTCTCTTCCGTAAAAATATTAATATAACACTTTTTCAATGTTAGTTACAAATATTTATGTATTTAACATAAATTAAATGATTCAGAATAAAATACACATAAAGAGCGAATACTTTGCTCGTGTAATGGATGAAAGTCATAAAAAATTAATACTTTATGGGCCATTTATTTTTTTTAAAAAAATATTTAATTTATATTAAATAAATAACCTATCGATTTCCTTTTTGCAAGAAAATTACTATAACAATTTTTGAATTTTACTTACAAATATTGATATATTTATCGTAAATTAAATATTTGAAAGTAAAATACCCGTAAAGAACCGGTACTTTGTCAGGATCAAGCGCTCACCATTGCATCAAAAGCTGTAGCTATTAGCGAATGCGCAACTTTATTTCCTTAACCATAATGGCAGAGTAAAGCACCGTACTACGCTCGGCCAGCATAAGGGGCTGCACCCCTAGGTGCCACGAGTTGGGCGATTAGTCCCTTCGAGCGGGGATCTGAAGGATGTTGCTGATTAGATCAACATACTTTAAATGAGTAATGCGTGTTTGTCCATAAATTATATTCCTTAAAGTTTATTAATTGTTAATTGATTTATAGTATTTTGTCATTCATTGGACATGTAGTACAAAGGACAAATTTGGTAAAAAATTATAATTTCACTCTCTAAAACAATATTTTAATCATTTGGACTGAATTTGCAAAGGATTAGTAAGCTCAGGGGAGGTTAGTGTAATTTTTCAAACCACAAGGGAGGTCACTGCAAATGTCAGAAACCTCAGGGGAGGTTTCTGCAATTATCCCTTATTTAAATAAAGTTAGACTGTCTGAAAATTTTCTTTTCATTTCTTTCCAGCTGCTTAAAGCACCCCAACATTCCCTGACCAGACCCTACAGACAGGATTTAAAGAAGAAGTAATGATGAAACTTGAAAGCTCCTCTAAGCCACAACTTCTTGATAGCTATTAAGAGATGAATCTCATCGCAAGCAAGTGGCAAACTAGAGGACTATTGAAAAAGTTTAGTAGTAATTATTCAAATAATTTGCTCTAAATTAGTCCAGTGTTCAAGCTGACAGATATTTTGATTGCCGTCATAATAACACACACTGAATTGGAATGAAGTCACGGGCATCAAAATTCAAAACCTTGCGGCAATAAAATATTGTATTTGTGTCTCTACTAAAAATGGTCCAATAGTGCAGCACGAGCCCCATGCGCGTTGTCATTGTTCTGCTCATGCATGAATGATTGATGTTGAAGTTGAAGGTTATGCAGCTTGTTGCAGTTGTATTAATTTATTTATTTCTATGCATTATTTGGTTTTCCAGTAGTTACATTATATATATATATATCTATATATACCTTCCTCTGGAGAAGCAATAAATCAGCAATTCAGCATTTGAGAGAGACCAATCAAATAGAATAGAATAGCGAGCGTTGCTGACAAATATGGAGTCCCGGACTCTGAAGTCACTGCTAGTAAATCCGGTGGGCGTTGCCGTCTCCAGTGGTCTTCTTCTTGTGGTGCTCTTCGCCTTTAGCTTAATCAAACGGAGGTTCGGTAGTCCTGATAAGAGGAGGCCACCAGGTCCACTGGGATGGCCAATTTTCGGAAACATGTTCGAGCTTGGGGAGCTGCCGCACCAAACGATGTACAGGTGGAAAAACAAGTACGGACCCGTGATGTGGCTGCAGCTGGGATCGATCAACACCATGGTCGTCCAAAATGCTACAGCCGCAGCCGAACTATTCAAGAAGCACGACGTCCCATTTGCTGACCGCAAGGTGCCCGATACCCTCACGGCCTTCGACTTCAACCAAGGCACCTTGGGGATGAACACCTTTGGCGGGCACTGGCGGGTGCTCAGACGCCTCTGCTCCATGGAGTTTCTGGTGAACAAGAGGATGAACGAGACCACTGACCTGAGGAACAGACTCGAGAGAAACATGGTAGCCTGGATTGAGGACGAGCATAGGACCTCCAAGGCTCAGGGGGGAGACGGCAAGGTGCAGCTCAGCCGCTTGCTTTTTCTCATGGCGTTCAACCTGGTGGGCAACCTCATGCTGTCCAAGGATTTGTTGGACAACAGAAATCCCGAAAGTCGGGAGTTCTTTGAATCCATGAACGAGATCCTGTCCTTGGCCGGGACTCCTAACATTTCAGATTTTCTACCATTCTTGAAAAAGCTTGACCCATTGGGGATGAAGCGGAGAATGATAGCCCACATGACAAGAACCTTCAGGATTTCTTCCAGATTTGTCCAGGAAAGGCTTGACAACAGAAAAGCCGGCAAGTTCAACGAGAAGAAAGACTTCTTGGATGTCCTGTTGGAGTACCAGGGGGATGGTAAAGATGGTCCTGCTACATTCTCGGAGAAGCATATCAACGATGTTATCATGGTAATTGACCTTAATTAGTTAATTAATCCCTGATTTGGCTGCTAGCATTAAATTACTCCTATATACATACATACATATATATATATATTTATCTTCTTACCTGTACGTAATTTTTCATGTTTTCTTGGTCTTCTTTTGGATATTATGGCATGGGGAATTTCCTTGTCAGCAACGCTAATTTCCAGTGCAAGTAACATCGGGTGCTTTTTGCTCAACTAATATTATCTCTTTTTTTTTTTTGGGGGTGGGGGCAGGAAATGTTTTTTGCGGGTTCAGAAACTACAAGCATCAGCATAGAATGGGGTTTCGCAGAGTTGCTTCGCCACCCTCACGCGTTCCAAAAGCTCAGGGAGGAGATTGATAGAGTTGTGGGAGTAGACAGATTGGTGCAGGAGAGTGACATGGAGAGCCTGCCGTATTTGCAGGCCGTCGTGAAAGAAACCTTCAGACTGCACCCTGCACTGCCTCTGCTCCTACCAAGAAATACCATGGAAGACACCAAGTACCTGGGATATCTGATTCCCAAACGCACGCAAGTCTACGTGAACGCTTGGGCAATAGGAAGGGATCCAGCATACTGGGATGACCCCTTGACCTTCAAGCCTGAGAGGTTCCTGAATTCCAGTGTTGAATACAAAGGGCAGCATTTTGAGCTGATACCGTTTGGATCTGGAAGGAGAATCTGCATCGGTTTTCCTTTGGCCCACCGCGTGGTTCACCTCACTTTGGCCACTTTGGTGCAAGCCTTTGACTGGGATCTGGGAGCTGGTGTCAAACCTGAAGACATTGACATAGACGAGAAGCTGGGATTGACGCTGAGGAAGAAGAATCCTCTCAAACTAATTCCAAAGAAGCGTCTCCGCGTTTGAAAGATTAATCGATCGTGTTAGAGTCTGCCAATTTCCTTTGTGCCTAGCTATGATATAAATAAAAAAAATAAGCTTACATCCATAATAAAACTTGCCCCCGATGTAATCTCCTCTTTTTCAGTACTGCTCTTCTATTGAGTATTCCCCTATTAGGATAGTGCCCTCTTCTGCAAGTGCTTACTCCGGTGTACCTGGCATTGTGTTGTAATACTAGGTAAGGCTGGCACTGCGCCACTCTCCACCGCAATTTTAATGACAGTCGTATTATGTGTAATAAATTGAGGATATTTGCTGGTAATTATTAAATTTATGTCATGTACAAATTTCTAAATTTTGCTATAGTATCTATCACATTCACTTCTACGTTTGGTTTTTTTTTTTTTTTTTTTTTTTGAAGGACACATCTACGTGTTAGTATTAGGTGCGATCAACAAGTCATGACAAGGCGAAAGCACATTAATCAAACCTCTAAAGGTTGAGAGAAGCTCCAAGTTCAAATTAATTGAAGGAAAAGCATGGCCTTTGTAGTCCTTAATGTTTGGTGAAACAGAGGAGGAGAGAGCAAGGAAGAGAATCCAAAGGCAACTGTGAGTCGAAGTAATCATCATTCATCACCAAAGTATCGAAGAATTATGCTTAAGCAGGAACACGTTTGGGATTTCATTTCCAGCGCAAATAAGAACAAAGAGAAGCCAAATAATTTTTTTTCCCGTGTAACGATAACATTTATATAACCTAATTTAATTAATTATATTCTACAGAGAGGGGAATCTAAAGAGGTTGCGAAAGGAGTTAGTAGGTATATAAATCTAACTAAATCAGTGCTCTGTCATATTTTTTGAATCTTTTTTCGCTGCCGATGGAGTTCAAACCTCTGACTCATAATCCAAAGACGGACTTGGTGGCCACTGAGCTTTGCCAAATAATTTTTATGTTGAGATGCTTTACTGACACAAGGATAGAAAATTAAGTTGCAACAAAGAGAAGCCAAATAAGAACAAAATTAATAGCAAGCAGCTTTTTACCCCAAGAGGAGGAAGAAGAATTCGTAGCAAAACCCAGCCCTTTCAGCCAAATTTTGCATCCAAGTTGCTACGTGGCAAGCTACAACGGGTTTTCAGAGTAGTGATATCTACTTCCCCAGTATTATTGGTGGAGTGGATAGCAATTGAGTAGTTTTTATGATGGGTTAATTTCACTTTGCTCCCCGTAGTTGCAACCCAATGTCCGCATTCATCTCTAAATTACAGATTAAGACACTTTAGTCTCTAAAATATAAAAGTTGTGTCACTCAAGTACAATTATCAATGAAATACCCAAAATTACAATCTAATACTAGCTATTTTTCTACAAAAATGCTAGAGTGTATTTTTTATTAAAAAAAATCCCAAAATTACTATACAAATGAGCTCTAAATTTTTCGATTTTGTATAGTTTAAGTACAGCTAAAAGTAAGTAATAGGCTCACTATAAAATTACCATACATTATCACTCTTAAAGTAATAGATTGTAACACCATATTTATATATCTTATCACGTGTCCTAAAACACATTTACAAAAGCACCCTCTTTACTAGAGGTGGCAAATCAACCCACTTAACTAGATTTATCCATACCCGCCCATGAATAGATGGGTATGGGTATCTTAAATTTATGCATATGGGTATAAATGGGTTACCCAATAATACCCATTTATATAATAAATGGGTATTATTGGGTAACCCATCAAACCCAATTAACCCATTTAAAATTCTCTTCCCCCCAAGTCTCTTCTTTTCCCCCACCTTTTTTTTTTCAAATTTTTCATTTTGTCATGATGCTAACATTATTATTATTATTATTATTATTATTATTATTATTATTATTTGTTGGTTTTACCTTATTATTTTATTTTTTCTTAGTTTGTTAACTTGCTCATTTTTTAGCATTACCAATTTATTATAAATTTTAGCCTATTTTCTTATCTTTATAAAATAAAATTTTAAATTTATATATGAAAAAAATGTTAGGGGTTCAAAATTTTTGGATTAAGTTTTTATATTAATTTTTATAGTACTTAATTCAAATTTTTATATTCGTATTATTCAATTATTAAATAATAGGTAATTTTGTGACATAGAGTATAAATGAAAAAAATTGGTAATTAAGTTTATTGAACATTATAAGTAAATATTTAAAACTAATGATGGGTACAAAGAGTGGTATAAATTGATAACTTAGTTTGCAAAAATGAATTTAAATGAATTTGCAAAAAGTTAAAATAAATGAGTTATAAATGGGTAATTGGGTTACCCAATTCATTTTTTGACTTACCCATTTATACCCATCTAATTAAATGGGTATAAATGAGTTGACTCACTTATACCCATTACCCATTTTACCCAACCCAAACCCGCCCAAGTCACCCATTTTGACACCTCTACTCTTTACTAATCACACATTTCGTTTATAGAAAAGCTTTTTTAACTTAAAAATAAGTAGATTAATAGCAAATCTTAATCAAATATATAATATTTATTAAAATAATTATGCCATCAGGATCTGGGTCCAAAACGGGTTAAAACATGTAAATCCAGATAGCAATTATAATACATTCGATTGGATTATTTTTTTAAAAAAAAAAATCTTTCCTTCTACTCTGGTTTATTTTCTATAAAAGGCCTAGAATGGAGAATTAAATTTAAAAAAATTCCCCAATTCATTCATCAGATAGCAATTCATGAACCGAAGTCCTCAAAGCACTTGCTTTTCACTTTTCATGTTTCAAACCTAAAGGTCTGTGTTTTCCGACAAACCCCCCCCCCCTCCCCTTTTTCTTTTTTTTTTTGGGCAGAAAAATATTCTCCGACCGTTGAATTGACCAAAAGTTGCTATGCTGTTCATGCTTCCACAACCTTTGTAAAAGCTTTTTGGGTAATGCAGGTTTTAAGGTTCCAAATGTCTATCAAAATTTAATTTTTTTTTTGTTAATATCTACTTAGAAAAACAACTCATATTCATACCGAGCCATATGGTAATATAAGAGAGTTGGTTTGTACAAGAAGCTTTTCTTTGTCGTGTAACTGTAACCCCTGGCAAAGCACATTCACTTGTGATATGGGAAGGCTTTTTTCTGCATAATATCTGGCAGCCAGCTGAGACGGTTTGCTGAATTATAATCAGTAATCCAAGACAACATGGAAGCAAACCAATCATAATAAAGAAAAGAAGTAATTCTAAACATCCTCAGAAAGTTCAAGGCATGCTCAACAGAGAAGCAGAATTCAATTGACTGGCACTCACAGAAACTTCCAAAATCAAACTCACATATGATTACTGCCGGGCAATTCCACTTAACTTTCATCAGAAACAGTATACATAAATTAGGATAAACATAAGCTAAAGAATATTAGTCATGACATGGATTACATGATAGCGCAATTTTACTCTTCACGAGGTAGCGGCCGAAAGATCTGAATGATGCCACCATAATTGAACAATTTACAAGGATTACCTCGTTGAGTAGCTAGGCTAAAACAAAGTAGTACTCCAAAATCTTTGATGCCGTCCAATGGATGCAGTGAAAATGTGAGTACTTGAAAATAGTACCTTAGCTGCGTGAAGAAATGTCTTCAAAATACATGAATATTCACCAAGGTAGGCAAAACCAATTTCAGTTCAACCAGCAACAATAGAACTATCCTTACCGAACTCTCTGCTATAGATTGTCAAGAGGTTTGAGCTACATCTACGTTGTGTGATTGATCATGCTTTGGGAAGTATTCTGTGTCAAAAACATAAACGTCACAAGCCCTTTTGCATGAAGAATCCAGGAAAGGTTGTTCATGTAGTTGCTTATAGAACCTTGAAAGGTAATTTAAGCCCATGAGAAGTTTTGCAATTGCCGCTTCTGTCTTGGCTTGATCTGCAAAGTAAAGGGTCTGGACTAAAAGCACATTTGTCCCAGAAGTCATGTCCTGCTTCTCAAAGTTCCGCTCAGAATACCATTTTATTGTGTTGTGAGCGAGTTGAGACAGCCAATCCAATATCCTTGACAACGTTAATCTCCACTCTGCTTCAAGGACAGCATCATAAACAGATGAAGCAGAACTTTGGGTGAACACTTTTAACTTTGCTCTCAAAGAGGTTCTAATGCTTGTGGGCAACATGTTGTATAGGTCATCTCTAGCATCCATGCTGATCAGGTGAGGTGATGATACTAGCCTCTCTATCAATATGATGATATTTGCATAATGGAGAGCCAAAGCAGCATAACCAAGAGTAGATGGGGGTGCATTCAACTGTTTATGCTTGAAGTTTATGCTACAGTGTGATACAGGCCAAATCTTGGAGTTTTTCACCATTTCAATGCCTTCATGGGATGCACAATCTGACCTTAAAATGTTGCTGCTGGAAGCCATAAAATTTTTTAGAGCAGGTGAATCACTTCCAGTCATGCATCCGTGAAAAGGGCCAATGTGAGCAAATCGTATGGTTTTTTTCTGCTGCTTCTTTCCACCAAAAATAGATCTATTGTGCCAGGCATTCAATTTTTTGGAGTTTGATCTGTCCTTCTCACCGGCCATGCCCAAATTTGAACAAGATCTCCCTAACTCACGTGAATTGATCCCAAACAGATTATTCTCGGATAAATGAACAGCATATTGCGTTGAGTCAGATATGGAATTGCTCCGAACAAGGCATATCTTACTAATTTGTATAGAACCATAAATTTTCTCAACAGCTCCCCACTGGTTAATCCCACACACAAATTTGATCCTGGCAACAATTGTAAAAATGGATCTAAGCAAAAGCCTGACAGTGTAGTCATATGTACGAACCCAGGGTGACATCTCGCGGAGATTCTTCACTTCCTGACGTTGACACATAACCTTCTGCTGAAATTCGAGCAATTTCACTTGGCTTGATTCCGGATTAGCCCGCATCCGCTTCAAGGTTTGCTCGTGCTCTGCCAGCACATCGAGTTCTTGCTGCAGCTGTGAAGTGACCGCAACAAATCTTTCCATCTTCTTCACCTTCCTCTCCATCTTCTTGAGCCTATACTCCCATCCACACCAATTAAGACCAATCTCAACAGGGTCATCAAACACTTGTTTAAGATGGTGATAGGTAGGGTCTGTACATCTCTTTCCAAGCAAAACCACAGCCCTTGCCACACATCCCACATTTTCCATGACCTCCAAGTGAGCAAGATCCATCAGATAATCATCGTCTTCTGAGATGAACATTTGAATACCCGGTGAGGTTGAAATTTCTCGTCGCAGTCTCATAATCTGTCTATCCTCTAGACACTGCCAT